CAGTCTTCTCGAAGAAGAGGATGAGGATCTCCTCCGTCCTCCAGAGATTCCTGCGGTACCCGACATTGACCTGAAGCGTCACCTGGAAACCCTAAAGGAAAGGGGACCTGCACAGAAGCCGTCAACCCTCTCAGATATCTCCGAGGTGAGTGAGGACTCCTTCGAGGATGGTGTGGTCTGGGACGTCGGTAGGCCTCCGAGTCACCGGTCGCAGAAGCCCAAGCGTAGTTCGCCAGTGCCAACAGCCGCCGATTTACTGCAAGTCAGGGGCCAAAGAGCAAGTGAATTTGTCATTAAACCCGTGGGTGTAGTGCGCCATCAGCATCGAGGGCAGCACAAAGACTCCAGCAAAGTCGTCAAGCCTAACAGGCCTCTGGCCATCTTCTCTGAAGAGGCTAAGAAGAAGATGCCTGTGCTGAAGAGCTTTCTAAATTCAAAGCCAACGGACAAGCCCAAGTCCTCCCTCACCACTGCGCAGGACCTCATTAACTTTCTCAACACTTCTGAAATGACCCCACAGAAGAGAGAACTTGTAAACGCTTGCCAAGAGTAAGTCATGTCTTATCTGCTCTCCAAATTGCCAAAAAGGAACTGGCAGTTTACTCATACTAATGTTCTCTAACCTGACAGCCAGTGTCTTCCCGAACTATATTTGAACCAACCTCAGATTATGAAGGGTTTTAAGGTCAGAGCACTAGGGAGAAGTAAACCTGGCTCCTATAAATTAACGGTAGCATATTTACTCGCCTGTATGTATTTCTCATATACATATTCCAGATGTTTCTTACTCTAGCAAATCAGCAACCATTTTCGGAGTTGTTTTGTTTCAGATTAACTAGTGTTCACTGTAATTCTCAAATGGACTAAAATGTACATGTTTGATGCGTTTTACTTGCAATTCTAGGAGGGAGACTAGTCATTCACCTGAAACATGTTGTTTACCCCCCAGTTGCTAAAACAAAATCAGATCATCAGAAAAATTCTTCGCACAGACATTTTCCATTGGCCGGCCTTCACCGGTTAGGTAACCTGGAATTGAAATCCAGTTGTACCCATCGGCGTGAATTTCAGTAGCAAACACAATATTATGCTGAATGCTTCTTTCGACTGACCACGCGGAGAAAGAATTCCAGTCACCTAAGGCAGACAAACGTCTATGCCTCTCAATGTTAGCCTTCGGGGTAGTCCTGGGCTGTATTATAAATAATTCATTTGACCCATTTGTGAAAACTTCGGCCGCCTCGGTGGGATTCGAACTCACGCAAACAAGGGGAAAGCTTAATTACATTAGTCACCTGAACAATGAGGCTCTTATCGGGAGCCGTGAATTTAATCATACTTGGATCAATTAAGTCGCCCAGCTTACTACAACATATGGAATCCACAAATTCAGATACAGTAAGCTGACTATCTAAGCCCGAGTTCATAAGAAATCTCTCTAGAATCTGCCAAACCGCTCTATTAATTTAGGTCACCTATTTTTTTTGTAACTGTGGATGAAACTGAGATGAAACAGGCTTCTACAGGGCGTCCCCAAAAATGTATACACAATTTACATAATTGTAAAAGTAATGTTTATCATACATTTATTATTAAAAATGTAAAAATATTTACAAGTATCATTCTATTGTTTTATTTTCACTGAAGTTCATTTTGATGATGACATTGCTGACAACGCGAAGCAATGGAATCGCACACACCATGGAAACATCTCTTTGTATTCGGATGCATTCGTGTTCAATGGCTTCTCTCAATTCAGTCGCTGTTGCAATAGTCAAACTGCAGTGAAAAAAACAATAAAATGAATCTTGTACATATTTTTACATTAAAAAAATAATACAATTATGGTGAGGTCCAGGTTCACAATTAAATTAAATGTGGATACACTTTTTTTGGGACACCCTGTATATGGTATTACTGAAAAAGCATGAAGACTGGCACGGCTATTTCTGGTTTATTAACTGCCAGGAGCCAGCCAGACCCGACCCCTAGACTTGACAAACAGCGAGTTCCGAAGCCGCGATCTTATTAGTTAGAAGTCTTACTCTCTAAACACTGCGCCACGGACTCTTTGCCTTGCCGTTTGCAACCGGGGATACACACGATCCGTATGTGCCTGTCTGCAACTGTGCATATTCCCGATCGATACTGGCCAGATCAGGAGCCCGGGGCGTGGTGGTTAGCGCGTCTTACTTCTATCTAAGAAGTTTGAGGGTTCGAACCTAGGGAAAACTACCCCTGAGGTTCGGTGACGACGGCTAATAAGCCAGAAATGGCCTTTCCAGTCTCCCTTATCCTTGCGATATTAGCATCCTGCCTGTATCATTGGCCGCTGTGCGGCTGCTAGCGGTGCTCGAGAGTGACCCTGAAGGTACAACCGACGAGTGAGTCTTTCCATCAATCGGTGAGCGCCTGTCTGCCATTACAGTACACTTCTGTATATTACCAATGGTAGAGGGGCGCTGACCGATCGCCTCAAGGGACATACTGGTCACGCTGGGCTTCGAAACCGGCTGATAATCCGCCCTCCTGCGCTTTTCTCTGTAATCTTGTTCTGCCTATAACACCAGCCGCTGGCGGCTTCTTGGGGGCTTTGAGAGTGAGTCACAAGGAGACGAGTATATCTCGTGACGCCATCGGTGGGCGCCCCCCTACTAGTTTTAACATACCCGGTTGCAAGCCACAGTCTAACGACTCATGGCTCAGTGCTTAGGGCGTTGAGCTTCTGACCGACCGATCACGAGCTGGAGCCTCAGGCGTTGCAAA